GCACCGGAGCGCCACGCGTCGGCGGAAGGCATCCCCACGTCGGCCCGCTCGGGAAGCCCAAGCAGACTGACGTCTCCTTCGGGGGGGCCGAAAAGATGGGCCAGCTCTCCACCACCACCACCATAGGCACGGCGGGGGAGAAGGGAGGATGGGGAGGTCCTCCTCCTCCTCCTCCTCCTCCTCCTCCTCCTCCTCCTCCTCTCTCCTCCTCCATTGTCCATGCCCTCCTCCTCCTCCTCCACCTCCCTCCTCCTCCTCCTCCTCCTCCTCCCCCTCCTCCTTGTCCTCCTCCTCCTCCTCCTCCTTGTCCTCCTCCTCCTCATCCTCCTCCTCCTTCTCCCTCTCCTACCTATGACAGTGGTGGTGGAAAATCGGCCCATCACTAAAAGTGGGGCGGGGGCAAAAGTGAAGTCGGGAGGGACACCCGCGCGGGGTCCTGAAACGGTGCGGCGAAAGACCGTGCGGTGACCTCACAGCACGGCCCATGACCGCACGGGATTGGGACCCCGGCGGCCCCAGTCGTCCGGGACATCCTCGGGCCTCGGGGGACGACCCCGTGTCCCTAAACACGTTCGCCTCGCAAGCATCAGCACGAGACGGTGCTGGCCCTTCAGCTCGTGCGACGTGCCGTTCGCACCACGAGCCAAGTGCAGACAGAGCGCGAGGCAGAGACAGCGCTGCCAATGCAGATGTGTGCACCCCCTTATGATCTGACTGGTCGTTCATGTACCCTGGGACCCAAGTCCCAAAACATTGCGGTCACGAGACCCCGACTCATGGGAGCGCGCATTCTTCTCGGTCGCGGCCTGACCGACCCCTCGCAAACCAGCCCCTTCAATGGCGACACCCTCGCCTTTCCCACCGTCTTGGGGCGAGGCAAAGGGGGGGGCCGTCACAGAAAGGGATGGCTTGCTGGGGGTCGGTCTGGCCGCCCCTGATTCTTCACTTCCGGCAGCTTCCGCTGGCAGGCCGGCCCCTGTTCTGCTTCCGCCAGCAGGCCGCGGGCCCTCCGCCCAGGAAGAGAGGAGGACAACCCCCGCCCGATGCCTCGAAGTCGAAGCCCCTCCTGGAACGCCCCGAGTACGCACCCCAAATTTTTGTAGGCAAGGGGAGGGATTCACAGCCCTCCCAGATGAGCAGTTTTAGACCCCCGCCAGACCAGCCGTGAAAGGGCTGCCTTTTGCCCAGACCCCCCTGGAACACCCCAAGACAGCTCCAATCAGACACCCTCCCCTTGTATTATGGAATGCCGAGTGCCCAGGACATCCGACGATGTGATGTGTCAGATCCACGGGCCCCTAAAAATCCCAAGCCCTCCTGGGGGGGAGGCACTTTTCCGTTCCAGATCCACGCAAGACGGCGCCAGGGCACGAGGGCTCCGCCACGGAGGCAAACACCAAGGACATGAAAAAAGCAATAGGGTTAATCCACTGGAGATCTGCTGCTAACCCTCGCCAATTGGATCCTCCCAAGCCGACAGGAAGAAAGAGGAGGAGGACAGCGGAGGATGAGGAGGAGGAGGGGAGGAGGAGAGGAGGAGGAGGAGGAGGAGGAGGAGGAGAAGGAGGAGGAGGGGAGAGAGAGGAGGAGGAGGATGAGGAGAGATGAGGAAGAGGAGGAGGAGGAGGAGAAGGAGGAGGAGGAGGAGGAGAAGGAGGAGGACCAGTGCAAACCCAAGACTCACTAACGATGTCGGAATAAACCCTCCCTCCATCCGAGCTCCCTCCTCGTAGGCCCCTAAAGGGTTCATTTTTACTGAAGGAACCGCCTCGTTGGGAGACAACCATTTGAAGACCGTAAATCATACCAAATCATCATTCTCGGGACTTCAACGCCACGGATCAACCTGACTGGCTCGTCTTGACGATCCTGCATCGTGCCAGAATGCCGCTATTGGGACTTCAACACCACGAATTAACGTAACTGCTGCGCCCTCACAATCGCGAATCCTTCCACAACACCATTTCTCACACGTGGACCATGGGAACCGATGAAAATATTGCAAATGTTTGAAATGAATGCGCGCGGCGCTAATGCGAGAGACACAGTTTGAAAACGAACCGCCCTCAATCAGCGAAAATATTGCACCTGTTTCAAACGAATGTGCGCAGCGCTAACGCGAGAACCACATTTTGAAAACCGCCCGTCCTCAGTCCGTGAATGTATTGCAACTGTTTGAGAAAACCGAATGTGCGCGGCGCCTAGGCGAGAGCCACAATTTGAAAACCACCCGCCCTCGAGCCGTGAAGGTGTCGCTCATTCCTCAGCTGCAGGATCCTAGATGGTGAGGACATCTCAGGCGGAACGCGCGGATCACTCTTTCGACCGGCCTCCAGGTGCGACAGGGAGGAGTTATTGATAGGCAAAATGAATGGAGGAGGAGGAGGAGAGGAAGGAGGAGAAGGAGGGGAAGGAGAGAGGAGGAGGGGGAGGAGGGGAGGAGGTTGGAGCGTCTTGGGGAGAGGAGGAGAGGAGGAGGAGGAGGAGGAGGAGGAGGAGGAGGAGGAGCAGGAGAAGAAGAAGAAAAAGAAGTAGGAGGAGGGAGGAGAAGGACCGGTGCAAAACTGAGACTCATCCACGATGCTGCAATAAAACCTGTCTCCAAGTTCCCCCTTGACAGGTGCGCGCAGGAAAAAAAACATTGCGGGAATTGCCAGATTGACCGACAACCTTGTGAAAATCCACAATCGTGCCAGAACGCAGTTCCTGGGACGTGAACCCCGCGAAGCCACGTGACTGTTGCGTCCTGGCAATCCCCAACCGCGCCAGCACAACATTCCTGGGACTCCAACACCGCGAATCACCGTGACCGGTGCGCCCAGATAATCGGTTATCCTAAATCAACCTAGAACACCGCCCCTGGGACTTAAAACCTTAGGATCCTTTGTAGTCAACGTTTAAACACATGCGCGCGGCGATAAGGCGAAGGCCACATTTCAAAAGGAACCACCCTCCATCCTTGAAGCTACTGCAAAGAGCGTTTCATACGAATGCGCGCTCCACCCTTGAAACTGAGGTAAGCGTTTAGGACGACTGTGCGCGGCGCTATGGCGGGATGCGCACTTTTGAAAACCAACCGCCCTCCATCCTTGAAGCTGTGGCAAGCTACTACTACGAATATCGCAGCGCTACGGCGGGAGCCACGTTTTGAAAACCACGCACCTAAATCCTAGTAGCTGAGGCAAATTTGTGGGACGAGTGTGCGCGGTTCTTCGGCGGGACACCACATTTTGGAAACCACCCGCCCTCCGTCCTTGAAGCGGTCGCAAACTTTCGATACTAATGAGCGCGGCGCTACGGCGGGAGCCTAATCTTGAAAACCACCCGCACTCCATCCTTGAAACCGTTGTAAATTCCAAGCTGCAGGATCATGAACAGTGAAGGCGTCTCAGGCGAAACGCCTGGCCCGCCTTACCAACACGTCTTGGGGTGCGACAGGGAGAGATGCTCACAAGGAAAAAATGGAGGAGGAGGAGGAGGAAGCGGAACGTGTGGAGGAGGAGGAGGAGGAGGAGGAGGAGGAAGAGCAGGAGGAGGAGAAGCAGGAGAAGGAGGAGCAGCAGGAGGAGCTACGGTACGCCTAGCAGCAACTCAGCTGCCTGCTCCAGGTCTTTCAACGCCGACACGCTGCTGGCATCCACAGACATCTGATGCCTAGCCGGTGCGCTGGACGCAGGGCAGCTGGGGAAACAGCCAACGGCCGTGGCCAGGGACGACGCCAGCCAGCGCGACCGCGCAGCGACGCCAGCGCCACGAGCAGCACCGCAGGCCACGGACGCCGCCCCCGACGCCAGATGCAGCAGCACGACCCACGCAGCAGAGCGCTGACCGCCGACAACGACGACCGACCAACGATTGATCCGACCACTGGCGACAACGAGCGCCAACCACTAGGCCACGACCACCGACGCTGACGCCCGACCCCCGTCTCCCCCGTCCCCTTCCCGCCCTCTCCCTCATTCTCTCTCGGGGCCGGCCGGCCTTGTTTGCTAGTTGCGCCTCGTCCTCTTCCCTTCCCTCCTCTGGCCGCCCCTGCTGTCATTTCTCCTTGCAGGCTGGCGTCTGTGCTGCATATTTCAACTGCTCCGAGTTTCCTAATAAGCGTCGGGGGGGCGGCATCCCCGCCGACAGCCCAACATCGACACCCGTCGCGGGCCGCCACCGCGCGCTGAAGGTGCCCCGACCCCCGTCGCAGCGCGACGACGAGGCGAGGCTGACCCCTGTCGGGGGGGTGTACCCCCCCAACGCTTACTAAGACACCCAGAGAAATCATGAGAGCTTCCAATCAAAGGCGGAGCGCCACGGGGCCAGTCCTCCAAGAGGCTCTGTCTGGCACGGTGGCACTCTTCGTGGCCAGGGGACCCCAGACACCGGGGAGTACACCTTGGTGACGA